ATGTATTGCTTTTATTAATATAGCTTAGCGCGAAGCTAACTAAAACAGATATATTCGATGCACTTGAAATAACTTGTATGAGTATTATATGCACGAAGTCGAAACCAAATTAAAATTTCGTGTTCATTATTNTATGCATACATGCATATCCATAATAAATATGTAGCCATGCTGTTGAGCCCAAAAACAGTTTTAACAACACCAACGACTACTGTTAGCCAATTTATAGCAAATTCTCCTTACTACGAGTCTGTACTATCTTGGTCCAATAGTGAAGGTGAGCAAAATGTAGGAGATCAATTGCAACTTTGCCATGTACAACGTACGTTTATGGCAACTATGTATGTACATACTCGTACAAATGTCCATATGTATTTAGAGATCGTAAAAGTATGCACGTTCCATGGTGATCTATGGTCATGTGCAAAAGTAGATATCCCAACTTTTCATAGTGGCAAGAGAGCCAGGCTAGCCAGCCAGTCAATGCCGGCCGATTGGATCTGAGTTTCCGTTTAAGTTTCAGCTTCCAGCTGCGGCCTTAACTGTTACTGGCTTAAATATGTATGTATGTAGATACCTCAAGATACTTACATAGGTATCTATGGAATTTTGTACAAACATACATATGTCTGTATTCATCTAAAAATTTACGCACTTGTATAGTATGTATGCACATATGTATGTAGGTATGTATACAGTGGCTTCAAAATAAAGTGGGACAATGTAATTGCATTTTTCTAAAGATACAAAAAAAAAAAAAACGCCGGTTCGAAACGAAGTCATACAGATCTCTTTGCTCTTTTTATGCTATCTATGTATAAACTGCAACAAACCACAATAATCTGTTTATTCCATCTGCGGTCATTAGTAATTGCTTTACCATTTATTCGTTTTAAGGGAAATTGACGCTTATATTCTATAGGTAAACTGTTTTACTATATAGGGTATCAAAGACCATTCATCCACGCCTTTGTTCAGAGAATCCGAATCTGTAGTAAAAACTGTAGGTTTTTATAAAAAAAAAAGAAGGTTTTCCGGTCACTTTAACCCACAGTCGCTAATACGACCATAAGACAAAGCAACCCCGACTTGGTAGTTCATATTTTTGTGTTTTCTAAATAAAAAATATTTTTCTCCGTTTTAGATTTGTTTAAAATTGTTAGGGTTGATGGACAAACATAAATAATAAATAAATATGAAAATTCAATTTTTAAAAACTTTACAGCACAAAAACAAAAACAAATTGATTTAATAGTTTTTCAAATATTTCGAGAACGGGGCGAGAAAAAATTTGAATAAAATCACACATACACACATCAAAATTCTCTATGAAAAAAAAATTTTAATTTTTTTCAGTTTGAAAAAATTTTCACACAAACTTTTTTATATAAAAAAATAGTTTTTGAAAATATGTCATCTCAAAAAATTTTTTAAAAAATCACAGAGCTACCTGAGTATTGCGTAGTATATAAGTATAGTATTATGGGGTGCACTCTAGAATAATTTGAATTTTTTTACGCGGAAGTTGAGTAAAATGAGTACATACATTACAAATTTTTAAAAGTTTTTTTAGAATTATTTTTGAGTATAAAGTTTTGTAGCCCATTAAATTTTAGTATAAAATAGTGCAAGTTTTAAGCGACTGAAAAACTGGCGTTAATTCTATTATAGTTTTCTTTGAAAACGGTTTTGCGCGTTTCCTTCCATAAGAAAAAGTGTAAAAAGCTGTTAGCATAAAAAATATTAAAAATCTACGCAATTTTGCAGTAGCTTAAAACTTGCACTGTATTATACTAAAATTTAATGGGCTACAAAACTGCATACTCAAAAAAAAAAAAAAAAAATTTGTAAATTCGTCATGTACTCATTTACTCAACTTTGGTGTAAAAAAAATTCATAACTCAAATTATTGTAGAGTGCACCCCGTAATAATATGCTATACTGTAAATATTGCGCAATACTCAATAGCTAACATTGTGATTTTTTAATTTTTTTTTTTGAGATGGCATATTTTCAAAAACTAATTTTTTTATCAAAAAATTTGTATGTGAAAATTTTTTCAACTAAAAAAAATAAAAAAATATTTCTTTTCATAGAGAATTTTGAAGAATCGTGAAAAAGCGTGATAAGAAGACCAACAACACTCCTAACGAAGTCTGTACTACAAGCTCCAGACTGTATAGCCTGTTGAATGTTAATTCTTAGTGAGGCCTTTTATGTCAACTTCTGGCAATTTTACATCGATTGGTCAAGAAAATATGTTAGGTCCAGTAGCAGCATCATCAAAATGTTGAATTAGATGTCTGAGAAGTAATTAATTAAAATGAAAATGGTCTGTTGAACTTTTCCTCCACCTATACCACCCTTCTAGCAACCAACTGCGAGAAGACTGTCAGTGCCACCATGTTGTTCTACAAAATCCAAAATACATTGAGCTGCTGTTTTTTGTAGCAGTACTAGATGTTGGAGTGGCATGGCCCATCACTAACTAAAGCAGCGTTAAAGAGCGATGCTCGCATTTGTTTCCTGGAACTGACAGATATTGCTTTAAAATCATCACCGCTGCTATAAGATTCATCACAATCATAAACAGAGTCTGATTAAGGCAAGCCATGAGACATACATAGTTGAACCAAATTCAGAAGAAATATTACACGGAGGCAACTTGGACTTCTTTGCCCCTTTTTTAAAGTGCTTAATACGCTTTAATGCCCACTTTCTCAATCTCCATCCAATGCAAAGTCCTTTGGGCCAGAAGGAATCGTATTTCAAATTTTATGGGCTATAAATCTCCATACCTTAAACTGCTCTAAAAATTCAGAGTAGAAAGTTCGAATTTTGACGAAAATTTTTCGAATTGTTCTAAATGTTGTACACATATAGCTTGAATCCTTGAGTTTTATGGATTTGGCTAAAGTGCAAACAATATTCTTATACAAAAAAAAAAAAAGGAAATACAAAAAAAATGTTCTTGAGAAACATTGTAAACATTAAAGAAAAATCACCAAGCGCTTTTTTTTAGTAACTATATTTGTCTATAATAACTCCAGTTGAAGTTTTTTCAAATGATGAAGTTTCGTTGTTGCCTTTAGTTTCATCACTTTCGCTTTTGGTTGAAGTAGACTGAGAATATAGCATTAATATGATCTCAAACACCGTATAATTAGTTAAATAAAAAGTTCCTTAAATTAATTTTCATTCTTATTGAAATAAATAAAAAAATAACAAAACTATAGTTTTTATTAAAAAAATAACGAAACTATAGTTTTTATTAAAATAACTAAAAAAAGTTATTGGAAGATATTTTCCAGATTTGGTAGATTTTTTTTCAAGTGGATGGTAAATATTTTTTTCGCCAGTGGCAACTCTGGCGGCTGAGAAATTGCTTTGAATTTTACAATTTTTTTTTGCTGACGGCTTTTTGCACTTTTTTCCAAATAAGCATGAATTTCTTATGGACGAAAAGGCGCAGACCATTTGCAAAGAAAATAAAAAAAAATTAACGCCAGTTTCTATATAAATTGTGCTTTTTGTATGGAAAAACCCGCAAAAGCCGTTATAAAAAAAAAAAACAAAAAATATATAAAAGATCCACGCGATTTTTCAGCCGCTTAAAACTTGCACTTTCTTTATTAAAATTTAGCAGCATACAAAACTGCATACATATTTTGAAAAGTTTTGCCACCTGTTGGAAAAGTCGAATTAATTTAAATTATACACAAGTTGTACGAAATTTTAAAATATGGGTGCTAAGCGAAAGAGTATTATTAAATTTATAGAATGAACATTTGGAATATTTTTCAGATGTTTGAAGAGGGTTACCACCTTTTAGAAAAGTTAAATTCAACCTTTTTAAAAAGTTAAATGCATTACACGAATGCGGGAATCAATCGAAACTGGTTTAAAAGGGCTTTATTTCAAAGCTACATATTTAGGAGGGTTGCCACCTGTTAAAAAATCAAAATCAATTTGAATTAAGGGAATTAGGTAATCGAAATATGTATCACAATATCACAATAGGAGGGTTGCCACCTGTTAAAAAGTCAAAATCAATTTGAATTAAGGGAATTAGGTAATTGAAATATGTATCACAATATGGATGACGATAGAGGTTTATGAAGCTTTCAATTTAGACAAGGGGGCGTGGCACAACCCGTAGGCGTGAAAATTTCAATCAAATATAGCTTTGGAATCATAAGTAATATGAGATTGATATTTGGTGTGGAGACATAACTAAACTATCTAAGCGGTTATGATAAACTAAAGGGGGGCTGAGTGTTTGCAAGGGGGCGTGGCACCTCCCATAACCGTAATACACTCCGAGACCCATAACTTTGGAAGCATAAGTCAGATGACTCTGATATTTGGTGTACATATGTATGAAATAGTTTGCACAAGGAGACGTGGCTCTTCAACCCATAGGCCTGATATTTTTTAATCAGCTATTTGTTCTTCTGACTTCGTTTTATGCTTCATCTATCCCACCTCTTTCATAGACCACTGTTTGTATGTATGTATGTATGTATATCGGCACGCATAGACACACGTCGCCTCTTTGGAGCAGCAACAGCAGCTGTGCAAACCGAAAAATAAAAGGTATGAAATAAGCAAAATGAAAGCTATGCTACAATAATAACAACAACAAAAAAGGCAAAATAAGCGCTAAATAAGAGCATGATGCCGCCGAAACGATCGTCGAAGCTGAAAAAGTAGAAAATGCGGCAAAGACCTGGAGCATTGCGAGCGCAACTCCATCGAGTGGAAATAATGCTGAGTTGCTACGTTGCGACGCAGCGACGACGGCTCAATTCTGTCTATGGTTGTTTCATTGGATTGGCGCATTGCTGCTGCTGATGTTGCTGCTTTACTGCTTTACGGCTTTACGGCTTTGCCGCTCTGTTACTGACAACAATTAGCCAGCAGCAGCCAGCAGCTAGCAAGTTGGCCAAAAAGCGGTCAGAGACCGACAGAAATTTTCAGTTTAACCGCGATTGCCAATCGCTTAAGACGCTTTTTTGTAAAGACGACTTCAATTGCATATCGTGGTGCTATCTACATACATATGTATGTAAATACATATTTACAAGTATTTTTCTTTGGTTTTTGAAAGTTTTCTTACGCTACGCTGAAGGCGGCGGACTTGTGTACTTAGTCGTGTTTTTGCCATTTTAACTGCATATCTGCTATTGTTGGCTTTCAAGTTCACGTAGTAGCATAACTCGTATGTAATAACAATTAGAATCGAGTTGTAAACGCCAAGTCCAAGCACGTAAAATAGCATACATATGTAATGGTAGTAATTATTAAAATGATTAATTAATTAATTAATTCATGGTGCATGTGTAACAAAGCAAATACATTGATGTATGTACGTACGTATGTACATTTGAAGTGTAGTGATTTTTGAATTTGATTTTGATATCTTTAAAGCAAATTGCATGAACAACAAACACATCCGTTTTCTGCGTAAAAAAAAATTTTGAAAATATTTTTGTGTACGTAAAATGAGTTTGGGCGGTGATAAAACGTTCAAGATGAGAATGCGCGACATGGAAAACGCTTTCAGATATCGCCGGATACCTTATCCAAAGAGGTAAGTAGTTAACTCCTTTTATCGGACACTCGTTATGCGTGTCCGGGCACGCAAAGACACCACCCAAACAAAAACAAAACAAAGAGAAATGCTGTGTTACAGGAAATTCGTATCGAAACCCCAAACTGTAGGCGAAACTACTGCTGAAATTTTTTTTAAACAAATACTTTCAATAAAGAAATTGCTTCCTGGTGGTGGCGGCGGCCAGAGTTGCACAACCAAGCAATTGACCAATTTTTCGCGCTCTCACCCGTTCCATTCACAAACCTACTAAACTCGAATTGAAGTCGTCTTAGTTAGAAAGAAATGAAATGAAATGAAATGACTCGCTCGACAAGAGTACAACAAAAAAAAAGAAGCCATACACGTTAATAGCAGCGAAATGGTACGCTTGCACTCCTAACATAATGACATTAATAAAAACAACAACAAAAAAAGCTTGTAAAAAAAAGTTAGCTTAGAAAAAGAAAAACAAAAACAACATTTGTAGAAAGCACCAAAAACATATAAAATAAAAGCATTGAAACTACCAAGTGAGTGGCTTGCCGAAGGAGTTGTTCCAAATTGATATCACCTAGTTTTGAATTTAATGAAAAACCGGTATAAATTGTCTTAGACGCACCGCACTTTTTAGCCTAGCTTACATACCTAGATTCACACTTGCATACATACATGCGCGTACATGCGCGTACATGCTCGTACATACTACATACCGCGATTGACAGTGGTAGGTATCCACTGCCGACAGCACCATTTTCGGGCAAATAAAGTTGAAGTTGGGGCTATTGCAAATAATAATAACTGGTTAGCTATGTAGTGCAAATACTTATGCGTAGATATGTATGTAGATACGTTTGAAGGCGAATGAATGCACACTTTGATGTAAAAAGTGAATTGCATTTGGTAAACCGCCATACGGCCCATAGATACTTAACTCTTTTTAGCTGCGAGATTGCTTTTTAAGATCTTTTTGTTTGTAACTAATATCCAGATGGGTGAAATTTCTTCATTATCTACAGCCTCTGTTGCGGTGGCGCTGAATTTTTTTTAAATGATTTTTTTTTTGGATTTAATACACGACCACCTGACTTAGTGTGAGTCAATTTATTTTTATAATGCTGCATAATTTAAAGTTTTGTACGCAAATAATAACAGCAAATTTAATATGCTGAGGGTAGGTTGACTGTGGTGGTGAGCGAGCTGATTGACTGCGTGATTGACTCACTAGGCTGGGTCGATTTTGTATGGCGTAAAAGAAAGGCATTTGACCGTCTTTTAATAGTAATACTATAATGTCTTAGGGCTAAACCAATTGTTATTGGCCACGAAAGATTAATTTAAAACTTAACTTTAGCCCGCGCAATTGAATCAAAGTGTATGAATTTTGAAAATGAAACTTTGGCTTGTAATATCTATGGAATGCGTTAAGAGCGAAATACACAACACAAGCGGCTTGACAAACCAAGCGAAATATCCCTTTGTTTCAATCCATTTGTGTTGTCTATGGGGGTGTTTGAAGGTTTGACAAACCGCTTGAGGGAAATTTGAGCAAAAATCAAAATTTTTTGATTTTCTGGCCGCCATGTTGACGTTTGATCAAACCGCTTGCGATGTGGATGGTAAAATCGCCTCATTTGTTGCTGAATTTTCACCAAGTGAGGAAGTAAGGGAGAAAAATGGAAGAAAACCAACATTTTTAACATTGTGAACCAGAGGAAAACTAAAATTCTGTGCTTGAATGACTCATGTTTGCATGGTGTATGGCGAAATGGGAAAAGTAGGTTTGACAAGCCGCTTGTGTGGTGTATTTCGCTCTTAAATTGTGGCAAACAGGACGATATATTAAATTAAGGGTTATTAAATTTAGTACCACACGTTCATGTATCATTTTTCAATAAGTCTACAAGTTTTTAAGATATTAAGATAAAACTTACAAAAGCTATAATTTTCCTTTATAAATTTTCAATTCTTCATTACTTCAGCAATCAAGTGAAAAATACAAAAAAGTGAGACGAGATTTATTTCAAACGTTTTAATGTTTTCGGATGCTTATATAATATTAAAAGGACCATGGACTTGGTCTCGCCGATTTGGGCAGTTTTCAAGATCGTGGTGAATGAAGTCAAATATGTTTGATAAGTTAATGGTAGTTTCAAGCATATAAATATTTACTACATACATTAGCAAAATACAATTAGGGTTAGAAACGCTCATTTTAACTCCATCTATGCAGTCTTGAAAATTGGCGCGGAATGGTTTCATTAGTAACGGAAGAAGCACATTTTTCGCGGTTTCTAAATTTGCCGTTATATGAAAGTAGGGGACGTGCAATAAGTGTTTAGATATACATACATAAATATTTTAGTTAATTCCATTATGTGAAAAAGTGACTGTAGGTAAATGCAATAGTCTTCAACTTATCCTGGGAAATCCTTTTGAGGAACGAAAAATGTCACTGCTTGGCACACTTTTCTGTAATCCGGTTCTTTCATTTGAAAGTAATTTATACATACAATTGAATTGAAATTAAAAAAAAAAAACTGGAGATCCACTTAAGTTTTTCGTTATAACTTTGGTAAATGTTACTCGATCGGTACGTAATCGTTACTGATTTATGATAATAATATGATAAAAATCGTTCAGATTATAAAAAAATTATTTAAAAAACAAAAAAAAAATGTTAAATAATTTTTTTTTGTCATTTTCCTATATTTGAAATTTTTTATTGTATTTATAAACATATGAAAACTAATTAGTGTTTCCAGAAGTTGTGCCTGTTTAGTGTTTCCATACTCATTTGCATAAACAAAATTTTCCCACCACTATGCAAAATAATGGCTTTTCCATTGGAGCAACCGAAATTGTTGCTAAATTTACAAAAATTCGCAAACTATAGCTAATATTAAAAAAAGATTAGAATATTTGGAACCAGCAATCTAAATGCACCCCAGCAATATCAATGCTGTTCTTTACATCTTTTGACTATAGGCCAGTGCAATTATCAAGAGAACAATTTAAATTTTATTGAAGAGAGATAACTTTGAGATTAACGATAAGCTAAAGGGCTGCGAGAAATGATATTTGACTTTATCAAACCTTTTTGCTGAACCCAGAATTTTTAACAAGTATTGGTCTTATTCGACCAATGTGCTGTGGGTCAATTGGCGGTCGATACGCGGGCTCTTACAATTAAAATAAAAGACTAATATTTTGCAGGCTTGTTGTTGCCTTCATGATACAATATAATTTCACTTTTACTAAAGGATTTGAGAAAAATTAGATTTTCGACCCGCCCTAGTGCTCACTTTGTACATTTGTATGCACAAGTATGTAGGTATGTATGTATGTATTGATGGTACATTCAGTGGGCAGCAGTGAAAATTTCGCATTTTTTCTATTTCGTAATTGAGTGCATATTTCTACGCTTGTTTAACTCAGATGCAGGTGTGCCACCATAAACTCGAGCTCAAAATCTTTTATAGCAGCTACATATACATATGCATTTTCGATTCTCATGCAAAGTCTCACTATTTTTCGTTCTGATACGATTTGATCTTCTGCTCTGTAGATTCATGACAACGTTACTTACATCCCGATTCCCAGATTGAAAAGAGTTCAGCAACTCCCAAAACAGGGGGCCTGGAGCCAATTTTTATTAAATTTTTAAAACCCCTTTTATGCACCTTTTCTTTGCAATTTGTTTTGTATTACTTATATAGTAGACTTGGGCCTTTTTCTGCAGTAACCTTTAACTTTAAAGCTCACTTTATATTTAAAGGTTGGATTAAAAGTAAAGCTATGTCTAAAGTTAAACATTTCTACTATCGGTTTTTGGCGTGTGTATGTTTCTTGGTTGTAAGCCAATTTAAAGCCGATAATAAAATGCAACATTTAAATATAAAGTGAGCTTTAAAGTTACAGGTTACAGGGGGACATGGCCCTTAATGTAGTAATCGAAACAAGCCTGTTAGAAATCGATAAAACATTAACAGAACGAAAAATGACACTGAAGATGGCACAACGCTGAAACCGGTTTGTCTCCAAACCAAATTTGACAAGGGATGACGGAAATTCGTTCCATAATACATCATACACCCGCCCTGTCGGAAACAACAACAACCAAAAAGGAAAAAAAAACATTAACACTTATGTAGTCACAAGTGGGCGTTTCATGTCCATTCCAAAAAAATCTATACTATTCTTATTTCTTGTTAACTTGGAGTAAGGCAGTGTCCTTAGTTATTGAAATATCGTAGTGTTTATATTTCTGCAAATTACCGTTACCGTTATGAAAAATGGGCGTAACTTTAGTCCGATTTCAGTGTATTCCTTTTTTGTATCAAGAGCAATAACTGTAGCGAATTAGGTAGAAATTGGTTAATCGGTTACCGAGATATTCACACAACGTCGATGGCACTCTTTCTGGCCAACTTTTCCGCAAGGCGACCTGCACTGTCATTGTGGCCCGGCACCTAAAAGAGTCTGACCGGCGAAAGTTCCCTTGCCAAAGGTCGAACAGTTTAACATACATTCGACTGCTTCCATAATGCTATCTCTGCCTGAAGCTGGCGCCCTGCATGAAAGAACCAACCACCGACACTTCCGTCAAGCTTTGACCCATCTGTATAGAAATTCACCTTAAGCATTTTAACACTATTTAAATTTGCAGTTAATATTTTGAGCAAAAGTAAAAAGCCAACAAAAATGCTAAATAATTTTAAGAAATAGCTAAGAAAAAAGAAGCTAAACAGGATTTTTCGGCTAGCCGGAAAATAGCTCGCATGGCAACACTGGTTATCATATTGTTGTAAAATTGTTTGTTGTGGTTCCAAGTTGTTTAAACCCAGACGCACTTCTTAACCATCCGATAGTATTCGCTGTTGGACGAATTTCAACAAAATATTTGAGCAATTGTTTATGCCACAAATAATAATTCAACTTTTTAATTTAAATGTTTGTAAAACCATACTGGAACATTAAAAAGAAATCTCTTCTTCGTA